CGATTTATTATTCCAATAGACACACTGCCGACGTATCGTGACGAGCGCGACGGTATCGACACGAAAAAATAAGAGAGCGATAGAGAAAATGAGAATGAGAATGTACGTGTGCATGACGTGTATGTTGCGCGTGGGTGTGTGTAGAGAGAGAGAGAGAGGGGGGGAGGGAGAGAGAGAGAGAGAGAGAGAGAGAGAGAGAGAGAGAGAGAGAGAGAGAGAGAGAGAGAGAGAGAGAGAGAGAAGGACAATGATATATGTAAAGAGCAGTAGCGGTATCATATAATAGCGGTAATATTCGGTTGGCATCTGCTGAACAATTAAATCATTGAAAAATGTCGAGTGATACACGAACGATCGTAAAGCGCAGGTTGATGCGATGCTACGCGTACTGGTTATCCGTAGACGTGTCGAATCACATCAACCTGATGTTGCAGTCGCCGCGAATATCTTTCAATAATTTTTCAGTCGCCGATAAGTATCGCCGATATTATGTACCAAGTTATGAAGCCAACGTAATTTTCTTAGGTTCAATCGAGGAGCTTGCCTCAAATTGCTGTTTTAAATCTATTTTTCGCGCAAATTGGACATGAGATGCGTGTCGCAAAAAGCTCATGATAAACTTGCGTTCGTTAAAAATATGGTTTTAAGGTGGCTAGAAACAGCTTTTTAATTTGTCATACTGAGAAACGTGAAGCAGCGAATCGCTGCGTTCTTATATTGCAAATTGGAAAGGAAATGAATACGGAGCGAATTGTATGATAATGATTCGAACTTATCGGACTGTTACGCTGTTACGGGCTCAATTACGGGCGGTGAAAAGCCACAACAAGGAGGGTTAGGCCGAAAACGGGAAGGGAGCAATGGGGATCGATGTCGTTTTCCGCGTCGATGAGTACCTCCGATTATTTTCGAATGCGTCTTTGCGAAAGGGAGACGTACGAGCAGTACGAGCGGAAAAGGCACACACTACACATAATTATTGAGTTCTGAGTGTGATTTTAGATTAAGGGATTTTAGCTAGATCGCCAGTAGTAGTTCACGACAGTGTCGGGCGAAGTGTATTCGCGATTGGCGAATAAAGATTTCGAACACGCGTTTATAAACGTAAAATGTATAAAAGTAGTCGTCAGTATTTCTCCGTGAAAATATTCTTCCGTCAGTAAATGTATTAAACACAGATGTTACACACGAAGTATATACGTTATTGTACTAAATATAAGACTTCAAGCCCTTTGAATCTGATGGCAGAGAGGCAGATGGCAGAGAGAAGTGTGAAGATTCGGATTCGGTGTGAAGATCGAAATTAAACGAAACGGAAGCTACCGCTGTCGTACTGCATCAGCGTACTGCATCATTTCGGCGTAAATTAAAACGATAGGCTAAGACGTGTGTTCGAGATCGCGGGTGTACACTTTGTCCGACATTGCTTCACGACGATACCTTATCTAGGACAAAGCAGTGAAATATATGAAGTAGTAGATAATATAGCGATTTAGCGCGAGACACGCCCGCCCGCAAAATTACTCCGTTTTGGTTCTCTGCCGTCGAGCGGTAAAAGGAAAACGCATGTGTTCTCTTTTTTACGCAATGATCCGCGCATCAGACGACAGAAGAGCGCGGTTTAGAAAAGCGAAGAGGAAGAATACGAGAGATCGCGCAGTCTCACCTCATCGCGCCGCGCCCATCGCGACTATTTAATTATCGCAGCCATTAATTAAGCGCGTGTGGGCTCCTCCACGGGGAAAACCGAATTCTAAGGATCGGCAGAAAGAGCGGCGGGGAAGAGAAGCTTCGCGTATGGAAACGTTAACCCTTTATTTCCCGAGGATCTTCACGTGACGGTATTTCTCGTGTCGTAAATTTTCTCCCGTTTCTCTCCCGCCAACCAATCAGAGATCCGCGAGAGTTTTCCACGATTTCACCCTCCACATGGAGGACAATCCAGGAAAGTCACTCTCCAAGGTCTCAAGAACTATAGAGAATAACTATACGTATAGACAGAATGCAGAGAAGAGGATAGATAGGCGGTTGCGAGAAATGGAAGAGAGTGGAAGGGGAGAGGGAGGGAGGGAGGGAGGGGGGGGTGGGTGAGGTATTTTAGTGAAACGAAAAACGCGCGTTTTACCCACATAAACTCGACACGTTTACAGACACGCGAAGTAAGGGGTTAGCGGATCGCAGCATTTCAGGCATCGAGAATCAGGCCGATATTTTTTAAGAGTTCAAATAATGCGCTCGAGTTTGATCGTTTGATCGGCAACGACGCCGCCGGGAACCGATCGGGATGATGTTCATTATCTAACGTTAATGCTACGCTGAATTTGAGCGTGAGAGCCCAGATCATCACCA